ATCTCCGCACACGTGCACGCCTGCCGGCCGCGCGGCTCACCTCTCCTTCACGTGGTTCTGGGCCCCCGGGCCCCCTCCGCCCCCGCCGCGGGCCCCGCCGGCACACAGCGCCTCCGTGAGGTCGTCCATGACGGCGGTCTCTTTGGGGTCCAGCAGGCTGAACTCCCTGGCGAAGAGGATGAAGTGGACGTAGAGCGTGTTCAAGTGTCCGTGCAGCTCGAGCGCCAGGGTCTCGCGGAAGTGTGACGAGTAGATGTGCGCCAGCACGTGGAACAGGTACCTGCAGATCTTCTTCACCAGGGACTCGAAGGAGCTGGGGAACTCTCGGCCTGCGGGGACAAGGCCGGGCGTCACCCTGCCCTGGGCGCCCGCCGTGTGGGGTTCCCGCCACCAGGCCCCGCTTTCTGCAGAGCCTACCGGCCACCCCCGCCCTGCAGCCCCCTGCAGAAACTCAAGTGACGTGTCACCAGGGCACAGAGGGTGGGCGCTCTCCAAGCAGTGCTGGCCACCGTTGTCCTGGGGCCTGAGACCCCACCCCACGCCGCCCAAACCTGGACGTGGCCCATGGCCACACACGCCTCCCTGGTGGGTGCCGGAGGGCGCTCTGCGTGGCCTTGGCCACAGAGGAGGCACACGGGCACCCCTGCCCCCGCCAGGCCCTGTCCAGGCTGCCACACAGCCATGGGGACCGCTCGTCAGCCCGCAGGTCCCAGAGCCGGGGTGGGGGTGGGGGGTTGTTGGCCAAGGCCGGGGGGACCTCTGCCAGAAGGCATCGGCCTTGCTCTGCAGCCCAGGTCACGGGGTTGCCCACTCCTCCTCAGCTGCGGCCACGGAGGGGACATTGCCGGGAGACACATACCGTATTTAGTAGGGAACACGTCCTCGTCAGTCACCAGCTTCTGCACGGAGCTCATGACAAAGTCGACGTACTGGGGGGCTGTGCACTTGACCTTCTTACCCCTCTCGTCATACCAGTAGTACTGTCTGTGGGGACAAAGGCCAGTCCCAGCGTCAGCCCCAGCCACACGGGCTCCCTGGCCCTGGGGGTGCGGGGCCTGCTGCAGTCAGGAGGTGGCACTGCAGGGGTGGCCACCAGTGGCAGAGGTGTGGCAGGTACCCAGGCTTCTGTTCCAGGGCCCCTGGGGAAAGAACTGTGGCGACCAGTAGCTGCGTGTGACAAGGGGTCCACGTGCACCGACTGCAGCAGCGTCCGGGGAGGAAGATGTGTGTGTGCACCTGCACAGCCAGTGGGCAGCTGCACATCCTGCCATGTGGCTTCACACTCTCGCCTCCACAGAAACGTGTTCTGTCACATAGAAGGCACTGCGGGGGCGGGGGGTCCCTCACGGCTGCGCCCAGCCCTCCCGCCGCCTGGGGAGGGACAGCCACGTCCTGTCAGCCAGGCTTCCGTCCCTGGTAGCAGCCCTGCCCCCGCCTGGAGAAGCCAGATCCTCTCCAGGAGCCCGGTGGGACAAGTGGCCTTGGGAGACAGGGACCTGGGGACCCAACCCTCAGGTGACAGTGGGCTAGAACATTTGGGAACGTGGACGCCCTAGGTGGCCCTCTCGCAGTTTCGGTCCAGCCGTGAAACCAAGCGAGTCTTCTAGCTCACACAGACGCGAGCCACCCTCCAGCCTCACGCCCTCCACCCCAGGGGACGCACACAGACTGGTGGGCGCACACCGCGCCGCCACCACCACCCCTGCCCGTGTCCCCAGCAGGCCGCCCTGCTGCTGCGGGACAGCTCACCAGGGGCTGGACCGGGCGCCTGTCTGCTCACCGATGTGGCCCACACAGACATGGCGCTGCACCTGTGAGTGACCGAGCACCCGCTTCTGCGGCCTGGACCCCAATGCCATCGACCCTTCCCCCAGCCAGATGCCAGACAGCCTTCGGCACTGGGCTTCCCACAGACCCCTCCCGCTGCCTGACGTCCCCCCGCCCCCACGTGGGTGACTCGACTTGGTTTGAGAACCGGCTTAGATGACAAATGCTCCCACCTCGACACCCCACCCTGCCCAGGCTGAGACCCTAGGTTGGTTCCAAGTAAGCTGCCCTGAATTCCTGAGCTCACCGAGCACCCCTGGGTGACAGCCGCTAGGACTCACCCACTCCTGCTACCCTGCCAGGCCTGTCGTCGGGACAGCAGGGCTCCCCATTTCTCACAGCCAGCCGGACCCCAGCCAAGTGACCCGGGAACAACTCTGCCACCCGCGACGTGCCAGCACCCGCCTCTAGCAGGAATCCAGTGCTCCCCTGCGCCCGGCGTCGACCGGCCCTGGGGCCAGGCCAGAGGACTAGGGAAGCACAGCCCAGTCCCAGGCAGGCCTCCACTCAGGACAAGGGGACACAGGCCTGACTGCCACTGGGGCCCGAGGACGCTCCCCCTGAGGGGCGGGGTGCTCCGCCACAGGTGCCAGAGTCTCAGGAAAGTAGGTGCAGCACAAACTGGGACACGCGTCTCCGTGACGCGAGGCCTGAGGGCAGCTCCTGAGGGACACTGGATGGTCTCATCCATTGGAAAGACTAACGCTGCCTTCGATGTTCCTCTCGTGGTCACCGTAACTCGCCGCACAGCGAAGCCGTGTGATCTGGGCGCGCGTGCACGTCAGCCCACGCCTAGGTCCACACGCACAAGCAGGCGTGGCTCGCACTGCCCCCCAGCCACAGCCTCCCACGCCGGTCCCTAGGGAAGGTGGCACGCTGTCTGAGCGGGCTCTGCCCTCTGGCCAGGCGGTGCTGCGTGGATCCACAGTCCCTCCGTCCTGCCTGGGAGCACCGCCCTGTCCAGGTGCACGGGCTCGGGCGGCTGGGTCGTCCCAGTTCGGGGCAGTTGGGCCAGGCTGCTGCCATCACCGCGGCAGGCTTCTGTGGTGCACGGCCCTCGTTCGGGGGGTGCACGTCTGGGGTGGGCCCCGCACCCACGGCAGGTGAGCGCTTCGCTCGGTGAGCAGCCGCCAAGCGTCCCGCTGGCACTTGGGGGCCAGCGCACCCCCGCGGCATGCTCTCTGCCCGCTTCTCCCCGCGCCTGGGGTGAGCCTTCGGGCCACCTGCCTCCTCCCGTCCTCGTCCTCAGGGCTCTGTCCGAGGCCTCTGCCTGCCGGGCTGCGAGAGACCCTCCCACACGGCGCTCGTCCCTTCCAGGATGTGGACCGGCCTGCAGTTCGCCTCGTCCACCAACCCGTGTCTCCGGGCCAGGCCTGCCAGCCCACGGAGCCCAGTGCAGCGACTCTCCGCCCGCGGACGGCGCCTGTGTCACCACCAGGAGCCCTCCTCGCCACCTTCCACAGGTCTAGTGGTCTCCCCCGGTGCAGGACCCGCCCGGAGGTCACCATGGCACAGGCGCCAGCTCTAGGTCAAGACTTGCTTGTCTTGGCACACAGGTGACCTGTTTCTCTGACCACGGTAGCTGGAAGGATGACCCTCTCTCTGCCGAATCCCTGCTGCGTCTGTCGGCGCGCATGGGGCGCGTGCTTCGGGGCTGTGCCCGCTCTAGCCATCGCTGTGTCCCTTTGCCATCAGCATGCCGTCTTCGGCACGGTGACTTCGCAGCCAGCCTTACAACTGGGCGGTGGGACCCCTCCCACCGCACGGTGCCGTCCCAGAACCCTGGCGACGGCCCTCGCACGGGCACCGTAGACCCCGCCGGTCCGTGCCCGCGCGAACGCCGCGGGAGTGACTGAGACCGTCCTGAGTGAGCAGCCCATGTGGCTGTGCGCTCCGAGGTGGAGCCGCCGACCCACGAGCGCGTGGCCCTGGTGCTGCTCAGCCGGCCGTGGCTTCCGGCGTGCACAACCCGCACCGCCCAGCTCCGTGCCCGGCACCTCGCTGTTCCGTTTGCTCCTCCGGAAGGTGGCAGAGTCGTTCCCACGTGCAGCACTGCGGCGGGCTTTCGTGCGCTGATGGCCTTGCTAAGTTTAGTCAGTTTTTGCTAGAATCAATGGGTTCTCTATACGGATTGTCGTGTTTTATGTAAAAAGACACAATTCTACATCTTCTGTAATAATTTAGATGCCTTTTACTCCTTTTCCCTGCCTTCCCACAGTACCTGTCTTTGGTGAACTGTGACCGCTTGTGCTTTCCAAGAAATTGGTTTATTTCGAGCTGTCGAGTTTACGTACGTGGTATTTCGTATAGTGTTTCTTCATCGTCCTCGTTAGCACGTGCTGGGTCTAGGGTGGCTTCCACTTTCGTTCCTCATGCTGATGATCTGTTCCTCCTCTTACCTTTGTCGACTGTGCTAAAGATCTACTGACCGGACTGATCTTCTCAGGAACGAGCTTTGGGTTTCATCGATCCTCCCTATTGTTTTCAGAAACCAGTTTCAGTGATTCGTGCCGTTACTTTTCCTCTGCTTGAGTTGAGTTTGTTTTGTTCTGTTTCCAGGTGCCTAACACGGAAGCTCAGATTACTGCCCTGAGAGCTTTCTTCTAAAATAAGCATTTGATCCCGTAAAGTCCCCCATGTGTCACTTCAGCTGCATCCCACAAACCACTCATGCTGCGTCTTCATCTGTGCTCAGTCTAAAACCTTCTGATTTCCCTCGCGACTTCCTCTCGGGCCCACGGATTATCTAGAAGTGCGTCGTTTCCAAATGTTGGGGAACGTCCTAATACCTTTTCAGCATCGATTTCTAGTTCAAGCCCATCACGGCCCCACGACTCACTCTGTGTGACTCTGACTCTTCCAAGTCCATGAAAGGCGGCTTCGGGAGCCAGGCTGCAGTCCAGTGGGTGACGTGAAAGGACACCCATTTCGCTGCTGAGGGCGCAGTGTCCTCGGGTGTCCCCGACTCCGTCGGCGGGCGGTGGTGCTGAGTCTACATCCTCGCCGACTTTCTCTCTACTAGTTCCCCGTTTTCGACAGGGGCGTTCTGGAATCTTCAGCTACGGGATTTCTGTCTCCTCCGTTCGGTTCTGTCCGTCTGTTCTGCGTGAAGCTGTGCTGTTCTGTGCGTGCGCATTCGAGGTCGGCCCTTCTGTGAGCAGGCGCTCTTCCTCGTGCCTCGGAATCGCCCTCAGCACGAAGTCCGCTTCGCCCGGTGTTCGTTACAGCCACGTGGGCTTTGTTCTGATCAGTGTTTTGCTGGTACCTCGTCTTCATCCCTTACCTTTAACCCACGTGGCCGCGCTCACGGCTGGCAGCTTGACAGGTAAACCCCGCCTGTGCCCCCTGCTGACCGGCGCGTCTCCGCCAGCGCCGTGGGCTGCGGCTGCTGCTCCGTTCTGTTCGCCGCGGCTTGCGCACGACGTGTTCCCTTCGGTTTTCGTTATTCCCTCTTGTGCCTTCGTAAAGGGAAATGCATTTCTTAACGCACCTATTACGATCCGACCACACCACTTCCACATTTCGAGAGGCAGCTCAAAGGGTCCCACGACATGCCCTCAGCTCCCCTGCGGTGTCAGCGCACAATGCCGCGTCGACTGCAACGCACAAGGCCAATGCCCACGGGTCCCCGGGTGTCCCCCATCTGCACACACTGAAGCCGCCTTCTGCTCCCCCAGCAGACACGCTCTGGAGAACTCGAGGGGAGGGGAGCAGTGTGGCGCTTCCCGTGTCCGCTGCTCCCCCTGTGAGTCCCACGTCTCCTGGCTGCGACTCCCCGTCACAGTCCCTTTGGAGCGGGTCTGCCGGCTCCTGGTGGTTCTTCATCCGAGCCACAGCTCTACTTCGCCGGGTGCCGGGCTCTGCAGCGGCCACTGCCCCCTCCGGCCCCAAGGCCTGTCCCGGGAGCCACGCACGGCGCCCACACAGGCGCTGCCGCCAAGGTCGCCCCTCCTCAGTCTGCACGTGGACTCGATGGTCCTCGCGGAGTTCACGCGGCTTCTTGGACCTGTGGGCTCATCTCTGACCAACTTGGGAAGTGTGCAGACGTGATTCCTTCCAGTATGTTCTCAGCATGGCCTTTTCTCCTCCCCTTCAGAGACGCCGTTACCCACTGGTTTGTCCTGCAGACACTGGGGGGTGGAAACAGGCCTCGGCCCCACTTCCTGTGGACGTGCTGGTCCGGAGACAGCAAGAGGCTCCGTGGACCTCTGACAAACCTCCCTTCTCTGAAACAAAGCATGACCTTCAACGCTGTGACCTCGCAGGAGTCCCCGGGGGCATCACACGCACACCAGTTCATCACGACAGCTCCATGAAGGCGGTTACAGACCAGAACCGGCAGGGGGTTCAAGTTCCCCAGACCCACGAGTTGCACTCGGCAGAGTCGGGGTCACACGCAGGGCAGCCCTGCACCAAGTTCATGCCCTTTCAAGGAGCCTCCCCAGACACGCTGACCCCGCGGGCGTGCGGGAACAGAGCGGC